AAACCCTAAACCCTAAACCCTAAACCCTAAGCCCTAGAGCGGTTCTAGAAACCGGGATTCGCCCGAACAGGCATCGTGGGGAGATAGAATTGAGGGTTTACGCGCTAGGGTTTAGGGTTTAGGGTTTGGGCAGCAGCCGAAGGCACTCCCCTAGACCTGAACCCTGCAGTTCACTTAGGGTTTCGAGAAGCAAAGAAAGAGTCGTTTGCTGCTGCTGCTGCTGCTGCTGCGCCTTCTCTGTCTCAAGCGAAGACTAGCCGAAGCGGCAGCAGCAGCAGCAGCAGCTGCTGCTGTGGTCCAGTGGAAGCAGCAGCCCCTGCAGCAAAGTCTCAAATCGTTTTTACTTTATTTGTTTTGTCTGCTGCAGTTAATTGAAAAAGCAAAAACTGCAAAACTTCAAAGACACCGCAGGGGCTTTAAGCTCTCTTTCGAGCTTCAGACATGCCACGCCGGTCGCCCCTGCTGCTGCTGCTGCTGCTGCTGCTGCTGCTGCTGCTGCTGCATTTCTCCTGATTGTGTGGGAAGAAATTCGAAATTTCTTGCTCCTGTTGCATTTAAATTAAGTAAAACAATAACTTATTTGGAAGCAGCTTTTGCTTCCCCTGGGTGAGCCGCTGTGATCAGCTGCGCTGCTCAGGCTGCTGCTGCTCGGGCTGTGTCTTGGGCAACTTAGCAGCAAATTTGATCCATTTGAATCTAAAAGTGTTTAAAAGTATTTTAAAAGTGAAATTTCAGTGAAAAGTGGAATTAAAAGAACAAACCTTCAAGCCTCTGAGCCCACGAACTTCCACTGCTCCAGCGCGCCCGCAGGCAGCATGTGGCCTTCCAGACGGATGTCTGCGAAATGTCGAATTTAAATCCGTGAAATTCGTTCAGAAAAGTTGTAATGAAATTTAAGAAGAAATGAAAAAGAGTAAACCTGTCATTCTCCCGAGCTGTACGTACACCCTAGACGCTCACCAGTTTCCTGCTGCTCGCGCATCCGCCCAAAGACGAAAGTCAGAAGTGCCCAGACTAAATACACTAAAATTAAACTCCTTTACTATTTTAAAATAAATCTTTTGATCCTTTTTCAATTCAATTTGCAAAGAGGCCCCAAAACACCCACCCGCAAGCGACACAAAAGTTTCCCATTTGTTGCCCTGAAGCTGACAGGGAATGTAGAAGAAAGAAAGCGGATCTGCAGACGATCTGTTTGGAATCGAATTCTTTTTATTTATATTTAATTTAATTTAATTTAATTTAAATCTTTTTGTTTTTTATTTCATTGTAGAGCTGTTTGTTTGAATTGGAACTTCGCTCACCCAGGGGGCTGGAGCTGGCGCCGAAAAGGAAAATTGTCTGAGAAGAGGGTGATTGAATTTGCAACAAATATAAGTTAAATAAAATTCAATCAATTTAATTTAATTTAATTTAATTTAATTTAATTTAATTTAATTTAAAATGAAGTTAATTCGCTGAATGTGACCTGAGAGACGGCGCCGGCGACTCCCCAGGCGAAGGCGAAGGCCATGAAGTAGTTCCCGTAGCTTCTGCGCGCAAACCCTAAACCCTAAACACTAAACCCTAAACCCTCGAGGGTTTGCACGCACCTGGCGCGCATTCTTTCCTCTGTAGTCACCGGCTCCGCCTCTTTCATGTAAGGCGGAAGAGACAAATAAAAAACAACTCCCAAAAAGAAGAGCATCAAATAATAAAGGACGCGCAGGAAATAAAACATGCTCCCAAAGGCTCCTTGAAGGGTTTCCCATTCAAAAACGAGGGTTTAGGGCGTAGGGTTTAGGGATTAGGGTTTAGGGTCTGGGGTTTAGGGTTTAGGGTTTGGGGCGTACCAGTGTCGAAAATAAGCCCTGCGGGACCTGCGAAGCCGCGGGGGCGGCAAAAAAATGACTTTATAAAAGCAGGTTGAGAACTTTAAACTTAATTGATTTAAATAAATTAAAAATAAATGAATAAATAAATAAATAAATAAATAAATAATTTATTTATTTATTTCTTTAAACTCACCGCTAAATGCGGGACTTATTTCTGGAGAGGGAATGCCAGCCCACAGCGCGAAGACCAAATGGCTCGCCAGCTGCCAGCGCCCACAAATAAATAAATAAATAAATAAATAGAACAATAAATACATACGTTATTATATATAGTTCATTGTTTATTTTTATGTATTCATCTATTTATTTATTTATCTATTTACCAGAGAAGCAATAAAAGAAGAGAAAAAGGCCTGCTGCTTGAAAGAGGCGTTGAGGGTGAAGTACGCGGCGGCTCCTGCGGGTGTTTCGATTAGGAAAAGATTTATTTAAATTAAATAATATTTATTTAATTAAATAATATTTAATTAATTAAATAATATTTATTTAATTCGATCAATTAAAAATTACTAATTCAAATTAATAACTCTCCTGCTGCTGCGAGGCCCAGCAGTCATTTAAAGGTCTAATTAAATGAAGTAAATGCAATAAATAATATTTAATTGATTAAACTAACTGAAATAATTAATGTTTAATTAATTAAATTATTCAAAATTAATAATAAAATTAATAATTAAAATTAATATCTCGCCTGCTGCTGCGAGGCCCAGCAGCGCCAGCAGCAGCTCGGGGGCGAGGCCGTAGAGGGCGGAGAGAGAAATAGCGCAGGAGAAATAAGCTGGAAGTTTGAAAAATGAGAAGTTGAATTAAATCTTTTTCGAATTAAATAAATCCATTTAAAGCTTCTTTTGGACCATTTTAGTCCCTTTTACCTGCTAGAGTTGCTGCTGCAGTGCTCGAATTGTCCCTGAGGCCTCCTGGAGGAATTAAAATGAATTTAAACTTAAAAGTGGAGTTCAAATATTCGCGCTGACCTAAAAGAATTAAAATGAATTTAAATTCAAAAAGGAAATTCAAAACTCTTCGAGCTGACCATACACTCCAAAGTACGCAAAGGGCACCGCCGATGACAGACACAGCAGAGAAACGAAAGCAGTCAAGAAAGTGGAGCCTTGCTGTGAAAACAATTCAATTAATTCAATAAATTGAATTAACTAGTTGAACTAATTCAGTTAATTCAATTAATTTAATTAATTAATCAATTAATTGCATTGATCCGATTAAAAGAGGCTTTTTATTTGCAATTTGAAGTCCAAAAAACTCGCCTGAGGAGACGCCGTTGAAAATCCCTCCAGAGGCATCACGACTGAAGCAGTGCATGCAAATGGACTTCTTGGAATTTGAATTAAATTGGATTTTGATATGGGAAAAATTGGAGTAAAAAGATGAAACAAAAGCCCCTTCATCGGAGTAGTGAAAAGCAGCAGAAAGCGCGAAAAAGAAATGCAGTTTTTTTCGAATTTGAATTTGAAAAACGAACTTGGCGCGAAATGCCACTTTCGCGCTTTTTCAGAAAAACTTGAGTTTGAAGTTTTCGTTTACCACGTCGCACTTGGCCAGAAACCTCTCCAGAAGTTCCGTTTGGAATTACCCCAACTGCGGGGTAAATGGAAAGATCATAAACGACGTCTGCGAGGAGGCGGCCTGCGTCGGACTGTTCTGAAAAGGACGCAAGGAGTGGCGCTTTCTCTTTTCGATTCTGCGGCTCTAGCGGCGCTTTCGCCCTTTTATTAAATTCAAATTACCGAAAAAACGCGTAAAATTAATCAGTTTCGCGTCGTAATCCTCCAGCGCCTGCTGGATCAGCTCGCCGGCGGCGGCGGAGGGGGAAAAGGAAGCAGCGGGAAAGTCAGCATCTGCTGCCTCTCCTGCTTCTTCCGCCCCATTGCACTTTCGGAAAATTAGAAATAGGCAAGCGGAAAATAACGGAAACGTGTACATTGTTCAATAAAAACAAAAGCGAGAAAAAACTGATCGGTCTGTGCGGCGACGGCGTGCGCACAGATCTGGGGTGTACGTCCACCTCAGAGTTGCGCGTGTCTACCTGCTGCTGCAAAGTGGAAAGCTGTGGAAAAAAGCCGAAACAAGGCCATTTAAGGCGCGATCTCCGGAATAAACGAGAAAGCAACCCTAAATGCTCCTGTTCAGCGCAAGTGAAGGACCAATTGGTTGAGTTTCTGTTTCTGCAAACAGAGAAATCGCTTTTGCAGAAGTGCATACTTTGCACGTTCATGAGCCGCGGCGGGCGAGGCCGTGAACAGCGCGAGCCCGGCTCTATTCGGCGAAGACTTTCAGCTCGTTGACTTTTATTTAATTTGATGCATTCGGAATTCCCTCTGATCCCGAGTCGCAGGAAAGCAGTTAACGAGCTGCTTTCCCCTCCTATTTCCCGCAAGGATCCCTCTTCCCGAGGCCCCAGGAGGGGTTCCCGAAGGCCTCTGGCATCTTGATCTCTTTTGCACGACCTTTCGTGCACGGAGTGCATGCAAGCGCAGCTGTGCGTACAGCTGGCAGCCCCAGGGGCTCCCAGGGGCCCCCAGGGGCCCCCCGGGTCCCGACGGAGCTTTTTTTGCGGTTTTTGCGGCGCAGCAGCTGCTGCTGCTGCTCAGCAGTCGCGGCTGACTGCAGCAGCTCCCTGGAAGCCGGAAATGTCTTTGGAATTGGAAGGAAGACCTTCTCCCGAAGTGACCCAGCAAGCCACCACTGTGATGTCGTCCATTTTGCCCCCCGTGAAGAAAGCCCCTTCCTGTCGGGCGTGTTTCATGAAGGGAGTTCGTTCGGTGGAGGAGCGGCTGCAGCAGCACAGCAGCAAACTTGCAGTTATTGGAGAAGTCCCTCGCAATTCATTCCGTTCGCAAACTCACTACTTCGCGGCAAAACCACCAAAACAAAAGCAGCAGCAGCAGCAGCAGCAGCAGCAAAGCGCGGCCCCACCGGCCGAGAGAAGCCATGCCCCTCTCTGGCGCTTCCCCCGCGCCCGCAGGAGCAGCAGGAGCAGCAGGAGCAGCAGCAGGAGCAGCAGGAGCAGCAGCAGGAGCAGCAGCGGACCTCCTGTGGGCAGCAGCCTCCCCAATGGCGTGGGCCGCGTCGGTGGCGGAGGTGGCGAGGGAAGGGTCTCCGAGGAGGCGCGCCTCCTTGGGACTCAAAAAGAAAGAAGCAATCGAGCAGATTTCGTGGTCAAACAAGTTGTCGAAAAGCCCGTCAGTGCCGAGCAGCAGCAAGTCCCCCTCCTGCACAGCGACGGTGGCGACTGCTGCGGCGTCGGGCGTGTCCTGCGGGACGGCAGCCGCCGCCGCGCGCTGCAGCAGCTGCAGCAGCGCCTGCTTGCCGCTGCAGCGCAGCAGCTCGTAGTCGCGCGGCTGCGGCAGCCGGCTCAGCTGGAAGGGACAGTTGAACTCGTGCTGCTGCTCCGCAGTCCGGAACACGCAGGTCATTCTGTACACCAACTGTCTCCGCAAGACCATCAGCGCGCTGTCTCCCACGTTCGCCACGCCCAGCTGCTGCCCGCCCTCGTGCAGCGCCACCAGCGCCGTCGAGCTGCCGAAGCTCCGCGTCTCCCCGTAGCCCTGCTTCAGGATCTCCAGCGCCCGCGCGCCCACGCCCGCTGCTGCTGCTGCTGCTGCTGCTGCTGCTGCTGCGGGGCGGCGCGGGCTGCCGCTGCGCGCGGGCGCTGCTGCGGGCGGGGGGCGGGCTGCGCCGCGGTGCTGCTCGCGCGCGGGCGCTGCTGCTGCTGCGGGCGCTGCTGCTGCTGCGGGCGCTGCTGCTGCTGCGTGGCTCGCTGCGTCGCAGCAGCCCTTCATGAGCTCCTCGGCAAACAGCCTGGGGTTCAAGTCGAAGGCGTCCCACTCGCCCACGCCGTCTGCAACGCCCACAGCCACCATTTGGCCCTTCCCCTTTGCTGCTATGAAGAAGGCGTCCGCCCCTCCAGTTTGCTGCTTCTCCGGGTGCGGCAGCAGAAACACCCCGCACTGCAGCGACAGACGCTGCTGCTGCTGCTGCTGCTGCTGCTGCTGCGCCTGCGCCTGCGCCTGCGCCTGCGCCTGCGGCTGCGGGCAGGCCGCGGCCGCTGGGCTGTCGCCCGCGGCCTGGGAGGGGAGGCGCTCCTGCGGCTCCGCCGTCCCCTCGCCCCCTGCTGCTGCTGCTGCTGCTGCTGCTGCTGCTGCTGAGCCCAGGCCCAGCAGCACCCCGGGAGCGTGCAGACGGGAAAGCACGGAGCTGGGGTAGCTGGAGACAGAGAGAGAAATTGCTTCGAGCCGCTTCAAGTCGCGCAGCAAAGAAGCTCCTGCTGCAGCAGCAGCAGAAGGCAGCAGCGAAGAGTGCGAGCGCAGCAGGGGCCCCTCGTGCTGCAGCAGGTGGAAGCAAAAGAAATCATCAAATTTACTTTTTTTAACTCAAGTTGCAGTTTTCCTCCCTCGAAGTTTAGCAGCAGAGCCACTCAAGACGCAGCAGCAACACCCGTGCCCTCGAAACACCCTAAACCCTAAACCCTAAACCCTAAACCCTAAACCCTAGGGTTTGGAAGGAAGGCGAAAGCAGCAAAAGCTGCTTCGTGTCTCTCACTAGGCTCTGGATTTGTTTGAAGTCCTTAGAGACATATAAAGGCCACCAAATGCTGCTTCTGCGGCAGGTGTCTGTACACCTGAGCTCCAGGCCTTCTGCGTAGCCCAAGTCGGGGGAAGAAGAAGCACCCAGGCTGCTGCTGCTGCTGTTGATGCCTGCTGCTGCTGCTGCTGCTGTCGCTGCTGTGCTTGTCGCGGCGCGGGAAGCAGCAGCCACCAAGCTGCTCGTAAACGCACTCCCTTCTGCTGCTGCTGCTGCTGCTGCTGCCGCTGCTGCTGCAGACCCGCTCTGCGGCACCAGCACATTGTTCCAGTTTCCCGTTGCGTCCTGCGCAAACACAGCAACAGCAGCAGCAGCAGCAGCATTGAAAACCAGCATCTGCAATGGAAGCAACAGCAACCACAAGCCGCAGCAGCTGCAGCAAAGGGCAAGAAAGCTCTGCGCATGTCCGCCATGGCAGCTGTTACGCAGCAGCAGCAGCAGCAGCAGCAGCAGCAGGGCCCCTTCCTGCGAACCCCCCTCTCTCGAAGCCTGAGCGCGCGCAAGCCGTAAACCCTAAACCCTAAAGCCCAAACCCTAAACCCTAAACCCTAGCCCGTGGGTCACCTGGCGGACGGGGAGCGTGCGTTCGAGCCTCCACTGGCCGTCGACGAGGAACTTGATGAGGAGCTGCTGCTGCTGCAGCTGCTGCAGCTGCTGCTGGCTGCAGAGCAGCTCGACTGCGTAGCAGCCGCTGGCAGCTTCGTAAGGCAGCTCTATGCGCGCGGCCCAGGGGGGCTGCGAGAAGGTGCCGGCCACCTGCACATGCAAGCCGGAAAGGCCATCCAAAAGGCCTTTTGAAGGCCCTTCGAAGGCCTTTCTTTCGAGCTGCTGCTTCCCTCCTCTCGGAAGAACTCAACTGCCGCTTCTGCCTCTTCAAGAGCTCCAGTTCAACCCCACTTGCAGCGCCCCAAGTGTACGTACACCCCACGTGGACGCACACCCCGCGTGGACGTACACCCCAGCTGTACGTACACTTCAGGTGTGAACACACTTGAGGCGTACATACAGTTGAGCTGTACATACACTTGAAAATTACATAGAGTTGAGGTGTACATACACTTGAAGTGTAAACAGAGTTGAGGTGTACATACACTTCAGGTGTACAAACACTTGAGGTGTACATAGAGTTGAGGTGTACATACACTTCAGGTGTACATACACTGCAGGTGTACATGCACTTGAGGTGTACATACCCTTGAGGTGTAAATAGAGTTGAGGTGTAGATAGAGTTGAGGTGTACATACACTTGAGGTGTAAATACACTTCATGTGTACATAGAGTCGAGGTGTACATACACCCCAAAGGTCCTCACCTGGACACGCCGGCGCGCAGATCCGGTCCAAACCAGCTTCAGCCGGCCCATGTTTTCTGCTGCTCGAGTTGCTTCCGCTGCTGCTGCTGCTGCTGCGGCTGGCCTTGCTGCTGCTGCTGCTGCTGTCTTTGCTGCTGCTGCTGCTGCAGAGTTGCTGATGGCCTCTTTGTGGGAAACTAGAGGAAATTCTCTTAAATCTTTCCTTCTTTTTTCTCTGTTTTCCTGCCGCTGC